TCTTTCATGTTATTTTCAATGTTGTTTCTTCACCATAACTCAAAATATCCTTCATCGTACATGAGTAACCATTACAGAACGTCTATCAGTATATATTATTTTTATTTCCAATCCGAACGCTTTACTGATGACTTGAAACTGAAAACCTGTGTATTTGCGATGAAAAGTAATTGACATTAAAATGAAAGAAATCCAAGTCAAAACTTAATAACGCTTGACAATGATTCATCTAAGCTAAGATGATTGTCTCCGTTGGTAGTTGCATAATTAAAAGAAAAAAAAACTTTATTTTTATGGAAATATTTCAACTAGCAATTGCCAGTTTTGGTCACTCCTTCAAATATACAAATCAACCATTCACCCTTGCATGGAATAGTGCGGCCATATATGGTCTGGAGCCCCTTCTGTTTGTTTCAAGGTTCTTGATAAGATCCAGAGACGGATATGCAATGTAATTGGCCCTGATATGGCATCTCGTCTGCAGTCACTCTCTCACAAACGTGCCGTGGCCTCCCACTGCCTTTTTACAAATATTTTCATGGTAACTGCTCCGATGAGCTGCTTTCGCTGGTTCCCAGATTTCATGAATTTAAGCGTTCAACTAGGCTGGCATATCGCTCTCACCCTTTCACTGTCGAAACTGTTAAATGTAGCCGTCTCTTCTACTCCAATAGCTTCATGTCTCGCAATTCTCGCCTGTGAAACTCCTTTCCCTTTTCCTGTATCCCTGACAGCTATAATCTCCAACTATTCAAATGTAATGTCAATCGACGTCTCCAGATGCCTTGATCTATCCTTTCATCCTTTCCTCTATCACTTCTATTTGCTCTCGCTCCAACTTTTTGTAACCCCTTGCGTGCTAGTGGTTTCCCGCCTTGATTATGGTGAAAAAATAACATCCTTAATTTGAATAAAAACACTGCAAAGAAACACGAAACGCTTAAGAATTCAAATCAAGGAAAACAAACCGTGTTGATGACGTTTACAATGTAATAACAAAGTTGAGGCGTAAAAAAAAGCGTTTCGTGCTTCTTTTAACTGTTTTTACTCAAGTTAGGGCGTGACCAAAACTGCCAACTGCCAGTCGAAATATTTCCATAAAAATAAATCATTCGTTGGAACTACAACTTTTTTTCTTCTTTTAATTGATTCATCTAATTAAGAAGTTTTAAAAAGAACATAATATTATAAATCCCAAACTACTAACAATCTTCTCATATCATTTGAATATGAAACATTTTAAACTACCTAGACAGTTGCAGCACTAGTAACACTGGTTAAACGCTTTTTAAAGAAAATAATATAAATATCTGATGTTTACTTCAAAATTCTTCCGGCATTTTTGACTTCATCAAACATGTGTTGCTCTTTTATGAAAACTTATTGAAACGTTCGAAAAATTTCCCCTTCGGAAAAATAGCTTCTGATAAAGTCTCGGTTGGTACAAAAAAATGGTTAAATAAACATATTTTGGGAAAAAGCTTCGTTTCAAATCAGCAGAGATGATGACAACATCGACCCTTAATGAGATACAAATGAACAGGGAATAAGATCGACATCTGTGAAATTGAAACATGTATTAATTGAAAGCATATAGATATTTGTCTATCTCAGTCTGTTCATAGCTTCCTTAGTCTGTTTATATCTCAATTTCTAAATGCCAATCTGTTCATATCTGTCTATCAGTCTCAGTCTGTTCATATCTATCTATCTCAATCTTTTCATATGTATGTATGCATATATATATATATATATATATATATATATATATATATATATATATAAAAGTGAACATTGAAGTCAACACTTAGAGACGACAGTCTGTTTCATGCTAGACGCAATCTTCAGGCCACGAGTGCTGTTATTTTTCTCGGCTATTTATATATACGGGTCAGTGGTGCATTGTGGGTAGTCTATTTTGGCGGTTATTTTACTGGAAGTTGCTTATTTGTTTGTTTATTTATTTATTTAATTATTTGGATAAATTATTTTGCTTGTCATTATTTTTTTTGTTCATTTCTTATCTTATATATTTATTTATTTATTTTTATTTTAATCGGTGTTTTTATCGCGTACTTAATAGTTTTGGTTTGGGAAGATAATTAAAGCTATTTATTCAATTTTTGGGTTGATTGTTGTAGTTTATTCTAACTATTATTTGGCGGGAGCAGTTTTTTAATTTGTTTATTACGTCATGTATTTATTTGGATTGATTATCTTTATTTGTTTTTTCTAGCGGTTAATTTACCGGGATTGGTTTGTTAGTTTATTCATTTATGTATTTAGATTAATTTATTTTACTTATTTTTATTATTAATTTATTATACTGTATGTTTTTATTTAATCTTTTTGGTTTTCGATTTTTAAGAAAAACAAAAAACACTAAGTCTTCTTAGCATCCGTGTCTGACACAAGAAGTTTATGGAAACAGAAAATGGACACTGCATGTGTTGGCCCCGATGTGAAAGTATTCTGATGGGCTGAAATAAAACTTTATTTGTCTATCGATAAACCCTGTAGAGCTTTCTTCATTTTTACAACCAATATATATATATATATATATATATATATATATATATATATATATATACTTCGGTAAAGCGAATCGAGTTAACTCAGTTATTTTTTGTTTATCTAAAAATCAATACGGATAAATTCACTTTCA